CTCTTCCCTTTTCCTTTGTTTATTACTTGTTTGCAACAGCTTTATTGTTTTTCTGCATGTATTCCAACCGAGGAGTCCTCAATTTGGTTCAATTTCTCAATTCATTGATGATGTTGCACGTGTGTGTTCTCGGTTTACACCATAAACAAACGCAAACAATATGTATTATATGCGTTTTATCTAATAAAATGCATATAATACAGTACCTTCCATATGTCTATCCAGTTTCCTTTTAGAAATCTGAGTGTGAACAAAGGTTTTTTTTGTGGTGGGGGTATAGGGCACCCTGTAATCATGTGTGATTGTGACTGTGTTTGTGACTTTCCATGATGACGATTATACTGTGCATCATGATGACTGAAACACAGATGTGCACCAATCCGAGTGGCAAACAATAGGACCTGGTCATGATGCAAGCACAGGGCCATGCAGGCAAAGTTGAATAGATTGTACGAATCTACACTTATTCACAAACGTGGAAATTGTGGTAAACCAGAAAGCTTGTTTGCATAAACTATTGTTGTTTTAGGAAATAGTTCAGGTCGGAGAATCTATTGGGAACTGCAGATTCGTTTAACTATTAATGGACGAGGAGAGTGAATCACAGCTCGAATATAGAATTCCTCGTCCATTTTCCTCAACATATCCTTTTCGTTTGCTTACAATGGCAGCTTGTGCCAGTGTATCATCATTATAATCATTCTTTTGTTGATTACTGCTACCAAGCGCAGAACCTGTCCCCTTACAGTGGCATCAAAGCCTCGCATCGGTTCACTGGGTTCTGGGTGTAAATTCAGACGCAAATTCACCGATGTTCATCAAAGAACAAGAATCCGTTTTCAAATATATCGCTGTCGTTGGCTGAATGTTAGTAGGGCCTGAGTTGTGACTTCGGTGTGAAATGATCGCGTGATGCCAGAAAAATCACCTGACGTTTGACTGAACTATTTTTCCGATCGAAAATAGTTCGCAAATCTTATACTGCGTATTGCTTGTACGCGTATTGATATTGGCATTTGCCATGCTTACCAAGCCTGTCATTACAAAGTTAGTTTTAACAGGTAACAAGGAGCGCCTTCAGAGATATGAAATTTTGAGTAAAAAAACCAAACTTCATCATCGTATTATGGTTTTTCCCAGTTTTTGTCTCCTTCAGTTGGTTACTTCATGGATATTGATATTGATTACGCGTATTGATATCAGCTGTTGTAATGTTTATACCAAACCTGTCATTATTATTCCGAGTTAATAATTAAGAGTGATACTCTGGCATTTCTTTGGTAATACTTGAAATGTAACTTTATGTTTCAGTTAACTTTATATTTTAAGTTGAAATTGCCAGTTTAGGGGCTTGTTGCCTTTATGGTTTTTATACAAATACAAATTCCCATATTCATGAGCAAATTTTGTGACGTCAAGGCAGACATTTCAGTTTCACATCTGCTTAAGCCTAAAATGTCACCAGAATGCTCGGGGTAAGCTGTGAATATGTTGACTGCTTGCAGCGGTTTATTGTTGTTTCAGACTGTATATGACAGTAAGAATTAAAAAAAATATATATGCAATAATAATAAACACAATTTTGGGCTTTGAACTTGAAGCGAAACTCCCTTATCTGACGAGTGTTTAAAAAAGACATCACGCTGCAGCGCCCTCAGTTGTCAGGTAAAATTGATTGTTACAAAGAGTGCTACTTTCGAAACCTTGTACTATTATATGGATTTCTTATACTTTTTTTTTATACATTCCAGAGAAATAGATATTAGCACATTATATGTCTCAAGTGGTAAATTCATTTCATTGACCCTTTAAAGGTACAGTAACTGACGTAATTGTTGTTGAAAGCATACTTGGTTTCATGATAGTTTTAAAAATGATGGACTGTTCCTTTATAACATAATCAAGAAGAGACCTATTCATTTCACTTCACACAAGCTAGAACAATCCCGAAAACTATTTCTATTCTGATGAACAACTTTTTCATTTGCTTTTCATAGCATAAATCAATGACGAAAACTGTCCCTTCTTAATGCTGAAACAACTGGGAAACCTATACTAGTTCAACACAAGTCCTTCCGGCCACCAATGGAGGCGTGTCAGTGGCGTATCAAGGAGGAGGGGTGTTGCATCCTGCCTTTCAGCCACTGACTAATGTTATGATACCAGCAAAATGGGGTCACAACGATTAAACTGAATGCTAAAAGTCCTATATATAATTTTCACTGACTTGGAATGCAGGAGAGAGCATCACATATTTCAAACCTTTCTGGGTCATGCCCCCTAGCAGGGCGTGCCGTCAGCACGCGTCATATCAACCACCGTTTCCTAAAACTTAAAAGCTACATCGGCGCTGCGTGTTCCCTACCTACATTCATCGCTCATACAGACTACCATTGCATGCTAAAGCTGCTGAGGTTATCTTACATGTCGAAGTTGTGAATTATTAACTACAAGCGTGCTTTTATCGGGTCTCGAGTCCTTCCATTATGTCAATGAGCTTGATCAAAGCTAGGTGTCTGCTAAGTGTTGGCACTGGTATGAAAGTCCATTTGAATCAAAATACTCCTGCAATATGGTGCTTGTACACGTACACGTAGATATACAGTATGCAGATATTACGAACAGATCAATAATCGCTAATATTCAGACGCGGGTAAGGTTGCAAAAATTCATTAAAATAAACCATGGTTTTGCTGTTGGTGATATACGGAAGTTTGAGTCCAACGGTGGGCAGATGGATGACAGTTTACGATCGAAGGACCACTTTGAGTTCCCAGACTTTGTAGGTATTCCCCTTCATAAGAACAATGTGTAGCATATAATTATAATGCTCTTATGTGATGAAAATGAGTCGGAGCTGAAAAGAACATTTTGAAATAAACCAATCTTCCAAGACTCAGTGGTTTGAATCTTACGCGTTGCAAATAACTCAGAGGATGACCTTTGGTATTTTAATTTACATGCAGTAACAGTGAGTGCACAAAAGGTTCACTCATGCCTATGCACGCAATACAAAACCATTGCCCTCTATGGCTTAAGGTCTATTTCGAAATCTTAATAAGTAGTGTAAAGATGTCCTAGTCGTATGGTTGTATTGAACGCGAATGACGTGATTTTATGCAATCCTCGGGCGGAGATTCATGTTGCCTATGAATCTTATCTTTGCAAAAAGGAACACACGTATACACGAAAACAGGTTTAACGAAGTCAAATACCGCCATATGAATGTCATAAATAGTATAATATTACCGTTCGTGAGTAATATCTAATATTTAATGTTTACTACAAAAACACAATATCAACATTTCGAAACCCACATAAATTAACTGTTTCAGACAAAGGAAAAATATAGTTCAGTCTAAATCTGGTCGATATTACATATCAAGCTGTTACTCCTTTTCTTCCGCTTACAATGACAGTATATCGTAATGGCAATGGTAATCATTATTTTGGAAAATAACAAGTTGTTTCTCTTACTTTTTATTGAAATCAAACTAGAACATTTCCTACCTTTGTTTGTTTGACTTGCTATACCGACGGGCTGTGTGTTGCAAACAGCTACCGAGACTGTGGCATCACAGTCTACCAATGAACGGGTCGGTTCACTGCGTTCTGGGACTTGGTTCTGGGTGCGAATTCAGACACAAATCCACCGATGTTCATCAAAGAATAAGGTTCAGTTTCATCGGATGTATAGCCAGTATGAAAAGGAAAGAACATGTGAGGTTGTTGCAATGCAGAAACATTATAAAGGTGTGCCGTGCCAGTGACGTACGCTCGCGATAAACAATGTGTGCAGATAGACTTGACAAACGTCGTCACTTACGTACAGTACAGGTACCGTTACATTGAACACTGATCCACGGCACGCACCATGTGAATACGACCGTTTATCACAGACTGGAATTGCAGTCTTCGGAACGTAGTGAGAATGTATATGTCTGCTGCATACTCAGACTTGAACAATACACTGCTTAATACAGTGCCCTGCGCAATGAGTACATGAAATCATTGTATTTCTTGGCAAATTCTCCATAGTCGCGTGCGTTGTCACGCTTGTTGCCCAACTGTGATATCGGTCCCCATGTATTTTGGTCGCCCAGACGTGAAGTACGCATAGTGTAGACTCAATCCAATTTGTATGGTTGCTCACTTCAATCTTTATTTTCCAGCACAAACAATTCAGTGTACAGGTATATGGGCACCAGTGGGCACGGAGATGAGTTATTAGCAGTATAGTTTACTGGATGATCTGCTTACACTGGATACACTGGATGATCGGGATACAGTTGTACAGCCAAGACAGTTGAACAGCAGTTGTACAAACAGTAAAACACCCTCCCGATAACACCTCGAACAGCTTCGGTGATTATCCCTCCCTTTTAATGTGAGCTTTAATTAGAAAGGGAAATGGAGAATAAACAATGAGGTAATCAGGAGTAATTGCCATAATTATCATCCCTAAATTAGCCTATCAGTAAGGTGAAACAACACACATATACAAATGAGAACCAGGTAATAACGGCGATCAGATGAGTCCATGTCCCTACAATAACTTGTATAATAACAGACTGTATCAAAACATGCAGGAAAGCCCATCAAAAATTCCCAATATTTTTCCAATAAGTACATTTACGCCCCCAAATCTATATCCCTCAGTCAAATAACAATTAACGGAATAATCACTTACCCAACCGAGTATCTCTGAACCCCTATTTGTGTATGAAAATGCTGGTTTTGAACCCTGAAAATCACTTTTAGCGGTGGAGTCAGCCGCGCGGTCACGGCAGAAAGTGCGCCCTCAAGCGAATGCACGAAACTGAAGCGCGCCCTCAAGCAAGGCATGCAGCGCAGTTGCAACATGGCCGCCTCCAAATTTTAACAAGAAATTTGCAAACAGTAATTGCAATTACAAAAACTTCAAAACTTTTAGTTTAACTTCAAACACTGGAAAATGCAGTTAACACGAAACAACAGGTTTGCTACTCTTGCGCACGCACTCAGTTCCTAATGCCACAGAGCCTAAAGGGAATGGGGATCTGGGTGAGTATAACCTTGGTCAAACCGGGAGTATCACCTTCGTCATACTTGGCTAGTTTTATGAGCCGGGCAACAGGACGCTTGTAGACTCTGTTGTTCACTTGAACGTTGACCACCCTTACTCGCTTGTCGTCACTGGGAAAGACTTGAGTAACAGTACCCACTGGCCACTGCGACCTTGATAGCTGAGGATCCGCTATCATAACAACATTTCCTTCCGACAGGTTCTCCTCTTCCCTTTGCCACTTCTGGCGGGTTTGAAGGCTAGGAAGATAGGACCTAACGAAGTGACGCCAAAATTGATCAGCTAGCACTTGGCTGTGCCGCCAACTCCTACGACCCCTCAGTTCGCTCTCGTCATAGACTACCATTGGTAGCGCTGGATCCCGTCTTCCCATCAGGAGCATATTTGGAGTAACCGGATCCACGTCGGCTATCTCAGATGAAGCGTATCCAAGAGGTTTTGAATTTAGGATGCCTTCGACCTCCACTAGCACGGTGCGTAACACAGCATCTGTTACTGTCCTATCTCCAAGTACAGCCTTTAGTGCCCCCTTGGCTGACCTGACCTCCCGCTCCCAGGTACCCCCAAAGTGGGGTGCGTTGGGGGGATTGAATTTGAACTTGACTCGATACTTGGCAAGTCGCTGGACAATATCTGGTTCCATTGCCTTCAAGGTCTGCTCGACTTCTGTATTGGCCCCCTTAAAGTTGGTTCCACAGTCACTTAGAAGTTCAAACGGAACTCCTCTGCGGGAGGCAAAACGCCTGTAGGCCATCAGGAAGTGATCTGCATCAAGGCTCTCGAGAAGGTCAAGATGCACGGCACGAGTGGTCATGCACTTAAAAAGCAACCCCCACCTTTTTTCCTGTCTTCGCCCAATTTTAACTGTCATGGGCCCAAAACAGTCCATTCCTGTCGAGTAGAAAGGTGGTTTTCCCAAACGCAACTTGCACTCTGGAAGATCACCCATACGTGGGACCTTGGGTGTTCCTCGCCAGCGACGGCATCCAGGACAAGCATGCAAGATTCCCTTGACCACACTGCGTCCCCTAAGGATCCAAAATCGGCGTCGCAAATGGGCAAACACCTGTTCGGTTCCAGCTTGATGACTGAGATAGGCATCAGCGTCCTTTATCAGGAGTTTTGTCACAGGATGGTGTGGGTCAAGTACGACTGGATGAGGCTCAATAGAAATTGAGTCGTTTTTGGCTGCCCTTCTGAGCCGACCTCCAACTCTGATCAATTTGTCAGCTGGGTCAAGTTCAGGCGCCAATTCCAGCAGACGACTATTACGAGAAAGTTCCCTATTGGATGAAAGTGCAGTGACTTCCTCCTTGAAGGTGTCCTTCTGTGCCCGTCGTAGCAGTAAGATCTCGATCTCACGGCGTTGATCTGGAGTTAAGGTACCCTCGAGCAACTGGTCATCTGTGTAACGCTGCTGACCAACCGCACTTACCAACTCTCCCCAACTGGGAAAGGCTTTGAAATCAACGTCTACCTCTGAAGTAGGAACTGTGAGTCCACAGAAGACACTCCTTATATCATTCTGTCCTACTGATGAGTTGACACGAGTTTGGGCCAAGACACTTGCACTGTCTTTCTGCCATTCCTCTTGTGGATCCAGAAGCCACTTTGGGCCCTCAGTCCACCTTGAGCCTTCTCCCAGCTTGCAAACCGGTAAGCCACGGGTTATATCATCAGCAGGATTGTCCTCACTCCGGACGTAGCGCCACTCAATGTCATCAGTCAATGTTTGTATCTCAGCTATGCGGGTTCCAACAAATACCTTGAAACGGCATGACTCTGACTGAATCCAGCTGAGTACTGTGGTGGAGTCGCTCCACATCACAGAGTACTGGATCTCAATTGTCAGGGCTTCGAGGACAACTTGACAAATTTGGGCACCGAGGAGAGCTGCCATCAGCTCAAGACGTGGCATGGATAGTAAGCGCTTTGGTGCAACCCGGCATTTGGCCAATACAAAGCTCAAATGGACCTCCCCTTGGCTGTAAACTGTACGCAGGTAGGCAACTGCTCCGTACAGCTTCTCTGACGCATCACAAAATATATGCAGAGACCTCTTTGCTGTTGCTGTGTCAACCGATGGCGGTGTGTAACACCGCGGCAGGCGCATCTGTGGGATGTGTTCCAACTCGGTGCACCACTCCTCCCACCTCTGGGTCAAGCCGGTGTCTGTCACCCTCTCATCCCAATCCAACTTTTCTAACCACAGGTCACGAACCAACAACTTGGCTCTTGCAGTGAATGGTGCAATATCCCCCAGTGGTTCGAACTGACTGGCAAGGACCCTGAGAGCGATGCGCTTAGTAAGCACCTGGTTGTCTGGAACCTTCGCTGGGTGATGCAACTCATCACTCTTCCAGTCCCAACATAATCCCAGAGCCGGTTCCGGATCGCCTTCTTGTAGACCCAGGGACAATGACTGCACCTGACGAGTTGAGCATGCCTCCACAGGAAGACCTTGAAGTGTTTTGGGGTGACTGCTTGCATATTTCACCATCTGAAATCCTACTTCTTGTAGGCATTTGCGTGTGCCAAGAACAAGTTCGGTTGCTTCTTGTTCGCTATCTCGGCTGGCCAGCTGGTTGTCCACATACGTCTCTTTCTCTACTGTATACTGAACCTGTGGATACTGCTCGACCCGGTCCCTAGCAGCTTTCTGAAGGGCGAATGCTGCACAGCAGGGACTGCATGCAGCCCCGAAAGGCAGCACCATCCACTCAAAGACAACCCACTTGTCAAGCTGGTCATCTTTCCAAAGAAATCGGAACATTCGTCGCTCTTCAGGAAGAAGTCTGACTTGATGGAACATGGCGGTAATATCGCCCAACACTGCCACCTTACCCTGACGAAAACGCAAGAGAACATCCAAGAGCGATGGACCTAAAGTTGGACCAGCAAGCAATTCATGGTTGAGGCTCTGTCCACCACACTCAAACGAGCAATTGAAAACGAGACGGTTTTTTCCACTGCTGTGCACAACATGACATGGAATGTACCAACCCTGTTGCTGGTCCGCCGACAAATCATCCACCGGTCCAAGGTTCCTCACTTGTCCCTGGTCTTGGAGCTTCCGGATGTATGAGCGACAATAATCAGACAAATCTGGGTTCCGTTCAATTTTCCTCTGGTTTGAGCGGGCCAATGCCAGTACTGCTTGTGGGAGATTGGAAGGTCTCTTGTGGTTAGGTTTCCACAAAAGCGGGGTCTCTAGTCGTTTCACACCATCAACTTCAACTTCCTTGGTGTTCTCCTCCAAGATGCTTATGGCCAATTTGTCATTCCTTGAGCGGGTTGCCTGTTTCTCATTTACCTGCGGTAATTTGTCAACTGTCATAAATTGCTCCATCATCTGGTGCAGCTTCTGGTCTGGTTGCTGTAAGGTGCATGAAGTGAACAAAACCCTTTGGCCTTCCAAAGTTTTGCCAGGGATCTGCAGACCTTGGTGACCAAGAACAGTCCAGCCAAACAAGGTGTTCACCGCCACAGGTGAACTAGACTTTGGACCAGAGCGGGCTTCAGATGAGAGCGTGAGTTCAACATGGTCTGCACCGATTAGCACAGACGGTTGAACTCTATGGGCAGAAAACAAGGCTAGCCCTCTTAAGTGAGGCCACTTGTCTTGTAGCTGTTCTGCGGACACACTGTAATCGACCAGTTGAACATCTGGGGCAGTGAATGCGCACTGTATAGCATACTTTTCGCCGTCTCCCCGAGCCGAGACCTGAAAGTTGACACATTCTCCCTTCCATTTAGTGTCGCCCATCACTGTGGTAATGCAAAGATTCTCTTTGTGGCCTGAAATATCCAACTGTTCCACAACTGACTGGAGAACCATGGTCCTTACGGCGCATTAATCCAACACGCCGAAGGTGTCGATGCTACCCCCAGGTCCATGAACAGTGAGTGGTACAACTTTGATCAGCACATCACGGTTGTAGTCAACTCTTGGACTAGGCCCAACTCCTGAGCACAATACAGCTTCTTTTACTGTTGGCTCATTGAGTTCGTGGAGACTGGTGCGATGGTCAGCGTGGCATTCTTCACACTTTTTTGGATACAGGCAATCCTTTTCGTGCTTCTTAGCACATTTTCTGCAGCGCTGGTTTGTTGTCAACCACTGGAGTTTCTGGTCCCGTTTCAGTCCCTTGAATTTTTCGCAAGTCTCCAGGTAATGGCCTGTCTCTTTTACTTTGCAGTACAGACAAGTAATCCTCTCAGGAGTCATTGCAGATGTTTTGCTTGGACTTTGGGCCTTAGCCTCCCAGTTGGCCTTCTTATTCTTGATTGTTGGCGTAGCTGTTGCCGACTGAGGACCAGCTTGGGCCATGTAAGACCTCGATGGATGTGGTTGGCTTCCAGAAGACCTCTTCTGCCCTTGACTCTTCCACGGTGAGGACTCCCTGGTGGACTTCGACTTGCTTGCCCTTTCTAGGAGGATCAAACCAGCAGGACCGGTCTTCTTTTTTAACCACTGGCTGAGATGATGTACGGTGTATTTCATACCTTGGTCTTGATTCCACATTTTGGAAAGGAATTCTGAATGCAGCCTTTCAGGTAATTTCTTTACCAGTTCAGTGGCATAGCGATGATGCTTAAGTTCATCGCGGAAGTCGAATTTTTCTGCTGTCTCTACTGCAGTAGCTAGCTCATCAGAGAAGTCACGGAGTCCAGACCAATCGTTGTGAGCCAGGACAGGACGAGACTCCAGCTGATCGAGTAGGCCTTGGATTATTCGTGCTGGATCTCCATTGGCCTTGTGAAACTGCTTCATTGTGGCGGCATATGCTCCATCTCCCAAGATGAGGTTGCGATCGGCGATAGCAAGTGGACGACCTCCAAGGTGACTTCGCAGGTAGGTGAACTTGGTGGCCTCTGGTAGGTGGCACATAGGGCCCTTCATGATGCTGTCCCACAATGTCCTAAAGGTAACGTACTGCCTAACATCATGCTCACTGTCAAACTTAGGGATGTCCAGCTTCGGGAGACTGTCCCAAATTCCAAAGCCACAGCCGTATGGGCCTGTGAAAGCTGTCACAGGACTGTTACTGGCATTGGCAACAGGAGTTAGGGGCTTGTCCGTCGCATTGGAAGTTCCCTTAGGACAGCATGAATGCTTGTTACCTGTATCACCCTCTGATGGGTCATCATCACCCGAGGAACTTGGTTCACTCTGCTCTTCACCACTGGAAACGTCTGCTCTACTGGTTGGCGGTCCCGGACCCTTGTCGTTCCCTGCAGGCTGCTGACTAGGAGGACCACGTTGCGTTGAGCACTGACCACCCAATCCTTTTGTTGTTGGTGCGCCACTGGTAGACGGGAACTGTGCAACTGGTACACCATTGAACAAACGAACTGTGGGTAAAGACTGAACTAAAAATGCAGGAAGATTTGGGTTAAAGGAATGTGGCAAGGAACTTGTTGCTTGCGCGCTCGCCGCCCCGTGAGAAACGTAACTTGTCATGGAGGTGGCAATGCTGGGCTGCAGCAATGGCGCAGACACTGGCATATATGTGCAAGGATTCACTGAGGTATCAGTACCAGCCGGCGTAAACACGGTGGGCTCAGAGATACTTACCCCGTTGTTTACCCATGCACTTGTTCTATTTTTGATTGACTCATCCCGACCCGGCAAGTTATGACCTGACTCCATTTGATTTTGCTCTTCTTGTTCAACAACATCAAGTTCATGTTGCAGTCTCTCAGTCTCTACTTGAATCTCTGCCTGCCTATAGTCTGAGTCAATCTCAATTCCCCTCTGCATGGCCTGGAATTGGACCCTTGCTTTCTCCTCATCTGCTTTTCTCCGGAGCTCCTCAAGTTTCCTGCGTGACTCCTGTTCGGCAAGACGCTTTACGATCTCCGACCTGGACGATCTAGCTGAGGAGTTGTGTGAGATTCCACTGCGAATGGAAGGGGGTCGGCCAGGATCCACTGGTCGCTGGGGCTGAAATAATTCTGATTGCTGCTGTAGACTAGGCGGAAGTGTCACCTGGTGATCATGGGCTAAGTGTAGCGGGTAACGCCGATGACGAGCAGGTCGTGACTCTTCGGCTTGGGGTTCTTCAGCTTGGGGTTCTTCAGCTTGGGGTTCAGTTTGGGGTTCTTCAGCTTGGGGTTCACCGTTGACAGACATGTCGATAAATTGCTGGATTGTATCCGGCTCGAAGGACCAATTTTCTGTAGACTCAATCCAATTTGTATGGTTGCTCACTTCAATCTTTATTTTCCAGCACAAACAATTCAGTGTACAGGTATATGGGCACCAGTGGGCACGGAGATGAGTTATTAGCAGTATAGTTTACTGGATGATCTGCTTACACTGGATACACTGGATGATCGGGATACAGTTGTACAGCCAAGACAGTTGAACAGCAGTTGTACAAACAGTAAAACACCCTCCCGATAACACCTCGAACAGCTTCGGTGATTATCCCTCCCTTTTAATGTGAGCTTTAATTAGAAAGGGAAATGGAGAATAAACAATGAGGTAATCAGGAGTAATTGCCATAATTATCATCCCTAAATTAGCCTATCAGTAAGGTGAAACAACACACATATACAAATGAGAACCAGGTAATAACGGCGATCAGATGAGTCCATGTCCCTACAATAACTTGTATAATAACAGACTGTATCAAAACATGCAGGAAAGCCCATCAAAAATTCCCAATATTTTCCCACTAAGTACATTTACGCCCCCAAATCTATATCCCTCAGTCAAATAACAATTAACGGAATAATCACTTACCCAACCGAGTATCTCTGAACCCCTATTTGTGTATGAAAATGCTGGTTTTGAACCCTGAAAATCACTTTTAGCGGTGGAGTCAGCCGCGCGGTCACGGCAGAAAGTGCGCCCTCAAGCGAATGCACGAAACTGAAGCGCGCCCTCAAGCAAGGCATGCAGCGCAGTTGCAACACATAGTACATGTATATGTTCTCTTTTGGAAATTCAGAAACTAAATGCAGATACAATTGTATGGGGTGGACATATCTGACTAATGACGATTGGGAAACTGTGCTGTACCCTTATTTACGCTTATATTCCCTCACCAAACACAATTTGCTTTGTCTCAGAAAATTGGGTCGGTCGGGTGATCCGAGCCGAAGGTATGTTTTCTTGGCCTTAATTATCATGACATTTTCAGATTCATTTTCACACGTTTGGGTATCAATATTTCAACTTGAAATTTCACGAAAATTAGACATCTGACAAAGGCAGCACTTTCTCATTAGCCTATCAAGAGGGTGAGTATACTTCTAAAGCAAAGACAAACTACAAACTAATCCTAAATGTTAAAATCAAAATTTGACAAAGTTCGACATTTTTTGTACAAGGTGGAAGTGTGGCCTTTATTTACGGAGGTAGTCCAGTAAATTGACCACATTTATGGAGCTATGTACCGGGGTGAAGGCCTATACGATAAGGATAATAATGATAGACATTTCGGCGTAAACTAAAATACATGTATCCATGATTATCGAGCCAGACACTAGTAGTATAGAATACGGATGAATGCTTACGGGAATTAAATGTCCAGAAATAAACATGATATAAATTAAAGTCAAATTACTTACAAATAGTCAAAATACTTACAAATAGTTGGCTACAGAAATGTGTAGTGAGTTGATCGGGAGCGTGGAGGCAACTGATTCGAATCTCCCGCACGCCGGGGTGACGCGAGCAAAGATATTACGTAATTGCATACCAGAGATGCCTAATCGGGATTGGTCGGGGACTGACTGGATTAAAACTATGTAATAAGGGCTCTATTTAAAATAAGGGTAATAGTTACTCGAAGGAGAAAATAAATAACGGAATAGACTCATAGCGGTGACGATTACAGGCTTATATTGCATGCTTCCGTCCGTGCAAGGTCGCGTGTACATAATCCATATGTTTACAATCCTTAAACAATGCTTCGAAATTTGGTGAGAATGCCATGCCCCTTTTTTATTCAATTTTGTACAGGTTTTACCGTATGATTTAGTACATTTTGCAGCCTACTTTCACAAATTTAACGCCTAAGTTATATGCGGGCTGCACGCAGTAAAAAAATAACCCTGGAGGAGGGGCAAGAAATTGCAAGTTGAATGACGAGATGAGAAGTCAGCCCTTCAAGGAATTCTTGCCACGAATCTTCTCCTGACACTTCAGCAGGTGGATAAACTGGAAACAGCTCCTTGTAGTTCAACGCCTGATTGTTTCGAGCCCGCGAAATATTTTGAATCGACCTCACGCATAGCAGCCATCTTAGAGGGCGTCTTTTGTTCTGTAATCTAGTAGCAATGAATGCATGAAAGCTTGACTCATGCATATCCCAGCAAAACAAATGCATTGCTCTCCAAGATGGCTGCTGTGTTTAATGTCTATAAAGAAGGAGCGATATACATGTAGTTCCAGTGCTGAAATGGGGGCGCTCTTATTGTAGTCTATTGCAAACATAACTAGGCAGGCAGCAGTGTAAAGTCAGCTACTAACGTTTAGTATTCTGTGTACAAAGGGGGCGGGGACATCGCTCCATTGGGGGTTGGAGGAGGTATACAGTCAAACTTCATAGAAGTCGATGGATTTATAAAGAAAGAATTGACCTGAACTTGCACCGACACATCCTACTATTGCACTCCCGTATCAAGCAGGTTTGCAGAGATAACAGCAAGGGTTAGAACCCACGAGCAAAAATACAAAGGAAATGCGTCATAGCAAGCTGTGGTGTAAAACAGAATATTTGACGATGAAAACTTTGGCTGGATAATATAAGTCTTTTGTATTAACAACAAAAATATTAGAAACCAAGATATACAATATCTCTGATATCATTTATTTTTGTTCACTATGTCCGAAATAATTTAGCTGCAAGTTTATACAAAAGTTACCAAAATAAAGAAGTCCATACAAATATTTCTGACATACAGATTAAATTTCAGGATAAACATTATAAAAAAACTTAATCGTTTTGATATGTACACATTTATTGCCTACTTGCTAGTGTTTTAGTTTCATTGAAGTCAGAGATTTGAGAATTTTTCTTCCAGGCAAATATAAAACAATAAAAAGATGTTAAATCCGGAAAATCAACAAGTGCTAAGAAATGCACTGAAAGAAATTGCCTGGTGTTTTTTTTACTCAAGAAATTGTAAAAACTGCAACTATACCCAAAATTGGGTTGCTCCATAACTCAGTGACATTTGTAAAATGGAGCCTGGTTTTAATGGTTTAACACAAAATGACCAATTCATTTTTGTGATGTCGTCGGCAGATAAACATACTATTAAATGTGTAGCTAAATATATTTTCCTATGTACAAATCTTAAAAAGAGGCATAGCATGACGTAATTTCAAAGCAAATTCTTTGTTAACCCACCTGCCAAATATTGTATGTTTAATTTCACTGTTGTGCCCTTTCCCAGGGTCATTGGGTTTGTTCCTATTTGTGGAATAAAACACAACATAACAAAACTATAACCAATTGTTTGGGTAAGAATTTCTGTTAAATTCAACCACAAGTTGTAGTCATAGACGTTGCAAAAGTAACATGGAAGAGATTACGACCTTGCATCATTCATTACATGTATCCAGGTCGGAACGAATAGCAGACAATTCGGAAAACCTTCATTTCATATAAATGATTTACATCAAACTCTAAACAAAGAGGCTTACAAGTAAATTAATCCACGACGCACAGACATTCTAATGATTACCAAAACGGATAATTTGATCAGTGGAACGTCTCACACAAAAGTTGTGGAAACCTTGGTTTCATTTTTAAATTCAAATACAAAACAAATGGTTGCAAAAAACCTTGCTCTGGAATCCATGAATTTATTTTCGACTATAGCTTGAATTTTATCTTATGCATTAGCTGTTATATACATTGAACATACATAGTGTACAATGTTCTTACATATTAAACTATCTTTGCGATATCACACTATTATTAAAAGTGTAGATTATTAGAGGTATTATAGTAGGAATCGAGCGTTTACTGTAGGTTCGTTGCGAATTCACAGTAAACTGTAGATTCGTAACAAATCACAGATAACATGGATTCCGGACGTCTGTAAATTTACGATTAATGTACTGCTGAAATGAGGTAAAATGAGAAACTAAAAAAGCAATAATGTTGCGAAATAGTACCATATTGTACTTTTCATCAGATTTAATGTACCAAAGATAATTTAGAATGTCACCTTCATCGCCAGTTGTCAAACTGATTTTCGAGACAATGGAATTGACAAATCTTGACATCGTATTACTGGTAATAAACAGTAAACAAATAAAACAGAATGCAAATAAGTCTTGAAGATGTTTAATAAAACAGGATACCAGACTAAATACACATTCACATTAAGTTCTGTACATACGTGTCACATGACATGTCACATTCAGAGCTCAAGAAAACTCTTCATGTTTCAAATGATTAATTATTCTTTCAGGAGGAGCATAGATTAACCTCTGACAATTGTGTTTCACAATACATGTAGTGGATATTTACGCAAAATGTTATTAATTTGTCATAAAGTTTCACTTGCTCAGAACAGCGCTGTGTGAGTCATTATAGTTATGACTGAAAAATGCAAATGACGAGTTGTTGAGCTGTACGCTGGAATTTTGAACAGATTCTTGGGACTAAGCCAAAAAATGTTGAAATCTTCATGATGTGTATTTCATATGTGACGTTGCCTTGGATGTGTTCAGGAATGTTCAGCGTTTTGTCTCTGGCAATCCTCAGGTGATTCGTTAGAGTTGAGAGAAAATAAGGAAGGAAATTCAAGTCTAAGAAGCAAGAGAGGGATGAGAAAGAACAGTTCTTGGTAGAAACCACGTGATGCAGCTGTGACATTTGCCCTTGATTGGAATCGAGCCGAATGGTTGTGCAATGGGAGTACTTGGCCACCACCACAAATGTCCAGACAACACAACTCATACAAACAGCCACGATTCAGAGTCAATAAGCCTCAAAGAAGCCCTAGTTGGATGTGAACCTCGCTAAAACAGACAACAAAACAAGAAGAGGTCAAGCGGATAGAAAGAGTGAGTAAAACGAGCATCCAAGGAAAACAACAAAGTAGCCATGGTTGGATTCGAACCCTGGCGAAGATGAAAGGAAAGGGAAGTACGTAGCACTATAAGGCGGAGTCATTCCACATTGTCAAGATGTGAACCGGGTACCGATTGTGTAGAGGCAAGCAAGCAGTGCAATGCCAAGCTACGTTCGTAGACATGCTGAGGTGGAAGGCAAGGGGCGTGAATTCACGAAGTCCTGGGATATGAACAAGGTACAAGAGGACAGAGGCAGACCATGAACCAAGTTACTAAGCTTACAGTCAATCCTGGATGACATATGTATTTTATCTTTCCTCTTTAATTTTGTTTTGGTATTTTTTGCTCTGTATTTTTTGTTAGTGTTCTATTGTACTTAACACCAATACATTCAATATTACGCCAAATCTGCTGAACAAAATGTCTGATACTTGATGTACTCTACGTAATGTGAGTTTGTAATACTTGTCAACAGGGGCGGATCCAGGTATATTTGCGGGGGGAGGGGGTCTTGCCCTTCACATTTTTAATGTCCGATTGTTGCAGACAGGTGGACATACATGTATATGTAATTATATTACTATAATTGTTATATTTCTCTGTTTGTGTGACAGAGAAGGGAGGGGGTTTCAACCTCCACCCCCGGGAACCGCGCCTATCTCATTGTGTATTTTTACGGAATGTGTGTCTTGTTGTGATTTACATAGAAACATAATGATGATGACGACATGTAATGATGACGGCAACAATACTAATATGGAGATTCGAAATAGTCCAAAGGCCCAATTGGCAATGTTGGTGATGTAACTGGTACGAATATCAAACAGTTAATTGTATTTATTTGTATCATTTAATTAAAGTAAGAAGACGTTGGGAAGATTTTGCTTGACCAGCTGCTTGACACGCTCTGCATCGTGACCTTTGTATTCAAGCGAGAACGTGCCTAGTTCAGGCAGATTCCTGAGATGAGCAGTGAGAGTCTCCACTCCAACCACACTGAATGCATTGCCACGAACATCAAGCAACCGCAAACCATGCCCAGCAGGGAGGATGCTGATCAGGTCAGGGATGTCATTATTATTCAGTCCACATGAGGCTAATACCAACAACCACAGGGATGGAGGAACAAGAGGGGCTAAACCAGCCAGATGACCGTTAAGGTTGGTATAGGACAAAGATACGTGTTTCAACCTATCACAACCAGTCAGTGCATTCGCTAGTCTAATGACGTCATCATACGTTCTGCACCACAGTGCGACTTTCTTAATGATCTGCTTGCATACACGAGACAGGGATCCTAACACACACTCACCAAGGTGATACTTCTCACCAATCTGCAGTTCAAGCTCTATTTGATCACGAAGCCTCTCATCCACCACTACGGCTGTCTGCATCTCCTCGTCTGGTTTATCCGACACGGTGTACGCGACAGACACCCGAAATCTCCTGATTGACCTGATGTTATCAATCGGTAGTATCTCTCCCAGCAGCTTCAGGCATTCATGCAATCTACCGGTGACACCTAAATCAATGCTTACTGTAGTGTTATTATGCAGTAGTCTATCAATACCCCTCAACGACGTCAATTCTTCATGCGATCTACAGCCAACAGCTAAGTTCTTAAGTTCTATTAGTGGCTGCGAGAGACACTGCAAGTAATAGCGTATTGCTAACAGATCCTCCTGACTACCACATTCTGCTTTAGTTGGTCGGTCTAGCTTATCAGCCAGTTTGCCACAATCAGACTCCAATAACATGAGGTACGTCAGTTTCTGCAGTTCAAATTCGTGAAAAAAAATTTCCCTGTTATGTTGTTTTTGTACGTGATCGAGGATGAGCGCAGTAGCCGGAGACCCCGATGATATACCGCATGCAAACCGAAGCAGATATTCCATTTCACAGACATTGCCTGGATTGATCTGCTGCAACCTCTCATGAAACTCCTCTTCGTTTTCGTGATGCAAATTGGCAAAGTAGTATGCTGCAAAGTACTCTTGCATAGACTTGTGTACGAAAGCTACTACCTTCATCTTCTTCAAGCCACTCGTGAAACTTTCTTGTTGAAGGAAACCCAATCGACACCCATCCTTCAAGGCCTTCTCTTCAAATTCCTCTGAGGAGAACACCAGCCTTTCCCCCTTGGGGTCTAGCAACCCAGCAAGAGCGACTGGTCCCAGTCCACGCACGATTGATTTCATCAGTGCCACCTGATCCTCGCCTTCATTGCAACGGCGACTGACCAGAACATCAGCAAACTGTGTGTAAAGTGCCATTAATTGATCAGGCAATTTTGACAGGTTATCCCAAATTATGCACAGAAAGAGTACAAGAATTGGAATCTTGGCTAGTGTGCGCATCAATGAGGTGGATGTCACGTGTGAAATTAATAATTCACCATTTTTGGCGTCACTTTTTGTAGCAAAGTAGGATGTTATGTATTTCTTTGCAGTGTCGAGTGTGAAACCCAAAGTTTTTAATCGGGTGTAGTGCGGGTATCCCTTGGTGGCAAAGTCAATCATGTGTGGCCGAGTTGATACTAAGACAGTACTGCGTCTCAACACCTTGTTATACAAGATGTCCTTGATCCCATAGCCACCTTCCGGGGCCGGAGAATTGAGAACACGGGTTGGAATCTCATCCAATCCGTCCAATAGGAAAGCTGTGTCCGCTTCGTTATCATCAATAACTTTCTTCAAAACTGCCTTCTCAATGCCAGGTAAAATCTGGTCGCGTATGGCCTCAAGGACGCAGCTTGTCTTTTGCATTTGGCTCAACTTTAATGGGAACACAAGTTTGAACTTTGCCATCACGGAATTTGGATCAGTGCTCGCATTTGCAACTCTCAATAAAAGAGTAGACTTGCCAAATCCCGCCCTTCCTGAAAGAAGGACCCTGAGCTTTGTTACTAAAACGTCAAGCATATCTTCACACGAATATAGGGGCTTCGTTCTAGGTTTATCTAAATTCCGTTTCCCCTCCGGTAAATCAATGGGTTCCTGTGTCGTCTCATTACCTTCTACTTTCTGAGTGAGCTCTAGTTGAGAAAACTGGTCAATATCCAAAGTCCTGGAAGGATCCAAGGGATGTGCAGGGATGGTGCTTGTTGTATCCTTGTTGTACTCCATAACACGCTGCTGGATATTCGTCAGATCAGTACGGGGTGCGAATCCACCAGTAGGACCTGAAACGAATCAGAATTTAAACTGAATTGGATTCTAGGGATGTAGATCTGGACACCACGGCTCCGTCAAGCCTATGCAAAAATTGCTTTTGGTGCCCAGTTATACTCATCTCCTTCATCCCAAATCCTAATATCCACTCATCCTCGAAGTCAGGAACCCTGCGAGACAGGAATCACTTCCAAGAACCAAGATTAACCGAGATCTTCAATATTCTTCATTGGACCAGCTGTAAGATGGCCACGGGTGCCACTGTCGTCACCATTTTGGCCCTGCTAGCTACTCTAGACAGGACAGTGCTTTCAGAAGCAACCAACCATGGAACTCATCCCATTGTTAACCCATGGTCCTACTGTCATGGTGTATTGTCACGCATCATGCCACTCAGGTTTGTGACGCCAAACCTACCTCGCTCACAGTGGGAAACTTGGAACCAGGAACTGAAAACACAACTTGGCCCTCTCCATTTCGACCTATCGTCGGGTCATATAACTCCGTCACAAGCAGGTGAGGTGTTCACAGAGTCATTATTCAACTTTGTCAAAGGAAAACCGGAACTAGTTGAATCAGATAAGCACACGGGGTATGTTTCTCATGACCCCCGAGTACTCACCAATGCCAAAAAGGAAATGAACAAATTGAGGAAAAGAGCGTTTGGAAAAAACAGTACACATGAAAACCGCAAGAGATTCAACGAAGCGAACAGACACTATAGTGCTCTCAAAAAAGTCTTCAAGAAAACCAAAGATCTGAAAAACGTTGAACACGAAGAGAAACTATTTCACAGCAATTTCTACGAATTTGCAAAGCGCCTTACCAAAGGCGAACTGTACAAAGACGTTACCAAGCCATCCTTCACAAAATGTTGTGCAAATGAGTATTATACAAAGAAATACTCCTCCTCAGCCCACTTCATCCACAACGATCTCAACTGGTTCCCTTACATCCGAGTACCCGATGACGGCACGGACTTTGACCTCACACCGGTTCGGCCGAGGGACATCAAATCAGTTCTACAGCACAAGTCATCAAATAAATCCCCTGGCCCGGACAATATCACCTACGGAATTCTGAAAAAGCTACCAGCCACTCATCATTTCCTGGCCACCCTCTTCTCCCGGATCATGCAAGTTGGATCACCGCCAAGATCATGGTCGTGCTGCAAAGTCAGCCTCATCCACAAGAAAGGAGAAGCATCTCTGCCTGAGAACTTCCGTATGATCGCCCTCAACAGCTGCGTAGCCAAAATCTATCACCAGTTACTGTCGCAACGTTTTAATAGGTACCTCATAGACAATGAACTTATCGACACTACTATGCAAAAAGCTTTCATACAAGGTATCAACGGATGCATCGAGCACACACAAACCATGCATGAGCTCATATCTCATGCCAAAGCCAATCAAAAAACACTGCATGTTACATGGTTTGATCTTGCTGATGCATTTGGAAGTGTTCAACACGATCTTATTTATCATGAACTCGAAAGAAACAAGTTCCCTCCCATCATCCAGGGCTATATCAAGAACCTATACAGCAATCTGACAGGCTATGTTAGGGGACCTGGCTGGAATAGTGAAATCTTTCAATTCAAAAAGGGAGTTTTCCAAGGAGATCCCCTGTCACCCATTATCTTTGTAATAGCATTTAACCCCCTGGTACAATACATCAAATCAGAGTTACGTTTTGGGTATACCATAGATGACACTAAATTCATCTGTACCCCATTTGCCGACGACTTTAATCTCATAACCACCAATGTTAAATCGCACCAACGTATAATCAACAACATTGTGTCTCGAGCTCAATCAATGAATCTTATTCTCAAACCCAGCAAGTGCAAATCCTTGTCTCTCTGCAGCGGCAAGCCTACAGAAAAAATCTTCAAAATCAACGATTTTCTGATCCCAACAATTAAAGATGAACCGCACTCATTTTTCGGGTCGATAATAACATTCAGTGGGAAAGCACGCGACACAATGTTCCACATTAAGCAGAAAATTATTTCGTATCTTAACAGAATAGATGAATCTAAAATCCGTGATGAGTACAAACTAAAGGTGTATTGTAACTACCTACTCTCTTCACTACGATTCTGCCTGACTGTTCACGACATAACTAAAACTGATCTAAACACACTCGATCAAAACATCGATAAGTACCTGAAAAAATGGGGAGGACTGCCCAAAAGTGCTACCAATTCCCTCCTCCATTCCAACTCTGGATTAGGGATCAAATCACTCACGTTCTTGTACAGAGAATGTCATGCCCTAGCTCATGCCTCCACAAGAATCAAAGGAGACAATATGGTTAACAAATGTCTAGACTCCAAACTACACCGCGAATCATCCTGGTCTAGAAAATGTTCCGTTACTGCCTATTCAGAAAACGTTCTCCAAAAAGCTCTGAAGGAAATACCGGCCAAAGACAATAGCCCGGGAAAACATTTGCACAAACTCAAAACAGTCATCAAGTCATCCGTAGCAAAGGACATTGCTAATACATGGGATCAAAAAATCAAATCCCTTGCTAAACAAGGCCGTCTCCTAGAACTTATGGAAACGGAAAAATCCAACATCACTTGGAAATCAATAATGTATAATTTACCTCGGAAAATTCTTCGCTTTGGACTCAATGCAATCATAGATACTCTACCAGTCAATACCAATCTCTGCCTCTGGGGTAAGTCAGTTGACCCCAATAAAACACTTTGCACATCCAAGGAAACATTGTTACATGTCCTCAATTACTGCCCAGTAATGCTCAATCAAGGCCGCTACACCTATCGCCACAACAAAGTTTTACTGGAAATCTGTAAATCCCTAGACAAAATGTACAACAGCTGCTCTAACCGCAAACTCTTTGCCGATCTCGATGGTAAACACGCTCCTGGCGGCAATACCATCCCGCCATCCATACTACCAACCACACTTAAGCCAGACATTGTCATAACAGACGAACATAACAAAGACATCACCATAGTTGAATTAACGGTACCATTCGAAACTAACATAACTAAAAGCCATGACTACAAAATGCAAAAATATGCCAACCTAACACGAGATTTGCGTGAGATAGGTTTCAACTCCAAACTCATCGCCTTGGAAATAGGAAGTAGAGGCTTCATAGACGAAAACAATAAAACACAAATCCGCTCCCTATTCAATCTGATGACAAAAACCGAAATACGGCAACTCACCACTCACCTGTCAAAAACAGCACTGGTCTCATCCTTCGTAATCTTCTACTCAAAATACAGCCCCGTTTGGATTGATTCTCAAGATTAAGGTATTCTTTCACATCGCCCATCCCACTCATCAATATTCCCTTGACCTAGCCAAGCAATCGTTATTCCCTGGTTTATGCTTTTCTTGTTATGCTTTTCTTGTTATGCTAAATTGTTAATTATTTAATTTGTCAATTTGTCTCTTACTTCTACATTAATTTCTAGTTCCTTGCTTCATTGACATTTAGACTGTTTCTTTTGATTCGTCTTTCATGTTCATGATGTTCTAGGTTTCCTCCATGTCTTTTGGTTGTTGTTGTTGATTTATGATTAATGAATAAAAGACATGAATTAATAAAAACTTTTTTATCCTGTATCATTCGGGGGGGGGGGTGGAGAATGAGGATCTCATGGATTTTGAAAAACAAACGAAATGAAAGCCTTATTCGAGGAAACACACTGCCAAAATAGAAAAATAATCATAGTTTTCCGTAAAATGAATCATACAAGTTAGACAATCGTTATAGAAGAAAAAAAACGAGTTCAACGAAAACCATGGATAATACCTCTTACAAACTTTCTATCACGATCTATTTAAGTTTTTCTTCATCAAAGATCAAGTCAATGCGTCTTGGAACATCCAAAAATGCCTTCTTCTTTTTTTCTCACAATGTCAAAAACAAAAGTGCATTGAAATCAGACAACATTTTTGTTGTAGTGAATTCAAATATTTGTGTCTATTAATTACTTTTCTATCAGTTCGACAAATATAAAGGCATACAAGTAAACAGTTACATATTTTGATGGACGCGACGAGAAAACGAAAGTAAAATATACAAGATTGACATTCACACAACTATATAATGAGGGAAAATGTCGATATCATGCAAAGGATACAAATAAACTGCTACGAAAGGAACAGTTAAACAATCAACTAGAAAAAGTAAAAAGTGATATTCAATTTCTTTTAACAAGTAGCTTGAGGTGTCATACTATGTGAACTTGATTGCAATAAACGAAGATGAAACCAAAACTGCACAAACTGCTCGATGGAATGGATTTGAAAAATCGTTTAATACAGACACACTTGACTGCCATTTTGTTGAAAAAAAAATAGATTTTCATACACTTGTTACGAGTACATTTCGTAGTCCTGCGGAAATTGAACTAGAATTTTAAATCAGTTCCTACGTTAATCAGTACGTACGTTAAATAATTCGTACTTCATCAATCACGGTTGATGAACGCAAACCAGACTTACCTTGAAGGAACATGACGATGTCATTTCTGTCGATCCGGGCCAATGCTCCACACAACACGTCCATCTGACCTCCAATGGTGGGCTGCAGTCGTCGCCATGCTACCAGCATCTGGAATTTCTGATAGTAGACATTGCCTGGGTTGTCGGCCTCGAAGGTCGAGATGTCTGCGGATGTGAAGCCAAGGTGAATTGCAAGATCCTTCCAATCGTGATCAAGCCTCCGAGCGACATTGGAGAGAGTCGGTTCTGATATTTGCGCTACAAGATCAAAAAGGATATAACTTCAAATTATACTCAAAACTGCGTTGGAAGAAAAAGTTGATGCAATTTCTCATGTCAGGTTTACCCGGAATCCACATTAGCCTTCTTTTTTTTCTCGGCTCAAAATCGATATTTGTTGGCTCCAAAAGCTCTGAGCTGGCAAAACGTTATTTTTTTACCAGAAAAAAAAATTTCATTTTGACCTGGAAAAGTGTCTTTTTATGACCCGGAAAAGTGTTGCGCCAATTGGGACGGACTACGGGTCAGTCTAACTAGGCAAATTTTAGATTGTGAAAACAAATAAGACAAAACATATGAGAAAAGTGAAGAGTTACGGCTCTGTTCGTACAACTTGAGGTGTCGTCTGATACGCCAACACCATGGCTAGTAGACGGCCTGGTTGAAGTACCAGCATCATCAGCAGGCTGAGTGACAACCTCCTCCCTTGATGTAACTCCAGATGTTTGGGGGATCGGACTTGTAGACGGCTTGGTGGAAGTACCAGCATCATCAGCAGGCTGAGTGCAAACCTCCTCCCTTGATGTAACTCCAGATGTTTGGGGGATCTGACTCGTAGACGGCCTGGTGGAAGTACCAGCATCATCAGCAGGCCGAGTGCCAACCTCCTCCCTTGATGTAACTCCAGATGTTTGGGGGATCTGACTTGTAGACGGCCTGGTGGAAGTACCAGCATCATCAGCAGGCCGAGTGCCAACCTCCTCCCTCGATGTAACTCCAGATGTTTGGGTGATCTGACTTGTAGACGGCCTGGTTGAAGTACCAGCATCATCAGCAGGCTGAGTGCCGACCTCCTCCCTTGATGTAACTCCAGATGTTTGGGGGATCAGACTCGTAGACAGCCTGGTGGAAGTACCAGCATCATCAGCAGGCCGAGTGCCAACCTCCTCCCTTGATGTAACTCCAGATGTTTGGGGGATCTGACTTGTAGACGGCCTGGTGGAAGTACCAGCATCATCAGCAGGCCGAGTGCCAACCTCCTCCCTCGATGTAACTCCAGATGTTTGGGTGATCTGACTTGTAGACGGCCTGGTTGAAGTACCAGCATCATCAGCAGGCTGAGTGCCGACCTCCTCCCTTGATGTAACTCCAGATGTTTGGGGGATCAGACTCGTAGACAGCCTGGTGGAAGTACCAGCATCATCAGCAGGCCGAGTGCCAACCTCCTCCCTTGATGTAACTCCAGATGTTTGGGGGATCTGACTCGTAGACGGCCTGGTGGAAGTACCAGCATCATCAGCAGGCTGACAGCCAACGAGCTGCCCTGATTTCTTGTGACGTCCTAGTAAATTGTAGTACACAATATCTTTATGAACAACTCTGGCTAGGCAAACAATATGATTTACAAACACCATTTTTTTTTAAACGGGCCTTCAAAAGGACTTTGTTATTTTTGTTTTTGCTTTGAAACTGAGATTGTATCGCTGGTGATGTTTGAAGACAATTTTGGACGAAAGAGGTTCTATGGTCATTGTGTTTAACTGTTGATATTGTTTGAACGGATAAAGTAATATCAGTTTTTGCCTAATTGAGAAGTAGATTATGAAATTGGTTTTCCTGTTATTATTATATTTCCTGTCATTATTAAAAAAAAATAAAATATGAACATATTTTTGTTGGGTTTGGTTCCGCTGTTTTTGACACACCCTGTAGGTGTCCTACTATGTGAACGAAGATAAAACGCAAACTGCACGAGCCTTACGATAGAACGGATTTGAAAATCGTTTAATACAGATTTACGCGTTTGATATAGACATACTCGACTGTCATTTTGTGGTGGAAAACATAATTTATGTACTACTTATATGTACATTTCGTAGTCCTGTGGAAATTGAATTAGACATTTTAACCACTTTGGTTTATCATGCAACAAGTATGGTTCATTAAAGCATTGCGCACTGTTATAGTTACAACACTTCAACAGACTTACTGTGACGGCGGTTGCGCCTTGTTAATTTTTGCCGCATGGTGGCGCTGTTATGTTCTGCGCGTCGTACATTATCTTCGTCTGATCACATTTTGTAAATCGTTAGCGAATTTCGACTACAAACAATTGAGGTTCTTCCCCAAAACTTGACATAGGGACAGAGGTAATTTAATTACGATATATTTTATAGTTCATAGAATTATTGTGAGGTAATTTTGAGTCATTGAATAATGTCATTTGTAATGTTTTGAGTTTACTGCCCCTGGTGAATAATGGATTTAGATCTTGGTATAATTCTGGGATTTAAAGTATGATAAATGCTCTTTTTGTTTATAATACACCTGGGATTTATTTGGGGTTATATAATCACATGTTTTTGGGAGCTGCAACATGTCCAATTATCCCACATGTTAATTACATGTTTTCCACATGTCCACTTTACATGTACATGTACATGTAGATGCACTTTTATATCCCTTTGTGTTGGTTATTTTCCAGTATTTATTTGAATGATCTGAATCAAGTGAAAGAACTGATCTGAATCAAGTGAAAAGTTAATCAACTGAACTAGTGAACACCAATGAAGTGACAGCTATTGAACGCCAGAAAAAATCAATCGAATAAATCAAATCTGGAACTTTTAATTGAACCTCAAGAGAACTTTAGTTTTCTGATTACCACCACACTTACCTTGAAGAAACGAGACAATGTCATTTCTGTCGATCCTGGCCAATGCTGCACACAACACGTCCATCTGACCTCCAATGGTGGGCTGCAGTCGTCGCCATGCTACCAGCATCTGGAATGTGTGATGGTTGACATTGCCTGGGTTGTCGGCCTCGAAGGTCGAGATGTCTGCGGATGTGAAGCCAAGGTGTATTGCAAGATCCTTCCAATCGTGACTAAGCTTCCCGGCGACATCGGAGAGAGTCAGCTCTGATATTTCCGCTACAAAAACAAAAAAATATATTACTCCAAACTGTATTCATCAATGCCTGGGAAGAGTCCGAAATACAATGTAGCTTTCCCGAGACCTATTTCTCGGGTATTAAATCGTTGCAGAGCTGACACACAGACGAATAAGCGAAAACCTTGTTTCGAGTAATTCGCGTTTGAAGTTGGACATTTTCTGGGCGCCGTATTTTACCCTGAATGTTTCGAGAAAAAAAGGTATATATTCGCATTAAAATAGGAAACTAAGTATCAAACAGGTCACTTAGTTAATCGGAGAAGTTGTGCGATATGATGACCGTAGGGTCATACAGAATTTAAAACTGGTTAGTGTCTCAAAAAACTTTGTTAAGGCGACATAAAAACGTATGTGCTCAAGCATGAATATAGTTTGATAGGCGGATTTGGCATCCCAAGATATATTATTTTACTTTACCTTTTGGTCCACCGCCCAGTAGGCCATCAGTACACAGGCGGAGTGAGATATTCTCGTCCTGTTGTATTCCATAGTCATGAAGTGTCAGCAAGTTACAAAGCTGAAACCAATCAACATTTTTAAATTTCAGATCTTCACAAAATACTCTCTTAACTTAAACGGAGGTCTTTTAAAGACGAAAGTCTCGTAGTTTTGATTAAAACATAATGAAGGAAACATTGTTTTTCAGTGGTGAATTTAAAAATTGAGACTATTTAAAATCGTTGGGTCTTTAAGCAACCATTTCCCCCAGTAATTATGTTTTTATTGTTTCCTGAACATAATTGTACCGATATCAGAGCAGCGTTTGTACGCAAATGATACTGCTGCTTCTGATCCACGCCCTTTTATAATGAAATATTGATTGATACTTTACAACATGGTAATTTTGAAAAATGTGGAGCCATTTTTACCTCAAAGTTACGAAAGTTTCTACGGATGAACAATCGTTGTTGTTGAGGATGAACACTGATGATCTCGTTTAATATATGTTTTAAGCACAAGACAGATGTCTCTGGATCCAATTGGAAACAAAGCGTTCTGGGCTTTTGTGTCAGGTGACATCCGATGAAGACTTGTAAATAACTGAGACTGTCAATAAAAAACATGTTTTGCATGTTAATGCACTTTTAATAGGTTGAATTGGCAATTACAATATAGTAATGAAGGTAAAGACCATGGACCATTATTTTAACCATTTTTGAACACCATTGTTTAAGTGAGAAAATGTTGTTTTTAAACAAAACGTTTAGTTATTTACAAAATAAGATGTGATGCCAGGTAATTCTTCAAACACAATGTGCAGTACAAATAGCAGCATTTAATCACCCCTTTTACCAGATGCGCCGAGGTTTGTCTAAATCACAAATGTCTTACTTTTTCCGTGTCTTTTCTTTGGTTGATGCCGCCTTGCTTTCTTTGTTCTCCTCGTCAACTCCTGCATCTTGACGCCTTTCTGGCTCGGGCCCAGATGCTTCGTCACTTGATTCATTCGTTACTAATACATGCAGGAAAACAGAGGGCATCATATCGTTTATAAATGGTTTGAACTAATATGTTTAATTCGGTTTTTAAATGAGCAGGTTTTTTTAATAGCCTATTTGCTGTCAAATGCGTGTGGTCTGATTTGAAAAATTAGTCCTCACTTCTAGGCGTACCTGGTACATTTTGGGCCAAATCAGTCAACCCGATGGCCTCCAATGCTCGTCTCAGCTGCTGAGCTGCTTCGTCGCGATCTGTCGTCTTTTCCCACCAAGTGAGTAGCATGTGACGGCCCGCTTCATTGCCGCCTTCGTTGCTGGATTGGATGTCTGCAATTTCCGCTTCTTCATATCCTAGATGTTCAGCTAGTTCCTTCCATGATGATTCACTTTTCGAAGACAAGTCCTTGAGGTACTCATCATCAATGTTGGCTTTGTCTACCAAAATAATGATTAACTTTAGTGAAACATTCTCAAATGCGTCCACTAACGTATCAGTTACCAAAGTAAAGAAATTATATCATTACCTAAAGCTAAAACAAAAAATACACCTTTCTTCTTTATTAATATATCAAATAAAGATACAGTTTATTTACTTGAAAATTCTATTCCCACATTTTGTAGTTTACCTTTTGATACACTGTCATCATTCGGACCATCTACTGAAAGATGGAGCGAGATGATTTCATCGTTGCCGACACCATTCTCCTCAAGTGTGAGTAGGTCACACAGCTACCAAAGTGAATAATGTTTGAAAATAAGTTAAACGATCAGGGGAAACACAGTGGATTTTCGTTATTTGTAAATTTAAATTATGTTCGTTTAACCTTTAGTATGGAGAGATTAATTGTAATGTGTTTGTGTATTTAATGTGTGTGTATCATCAATAAAAATAAAAGTGATTAAAACATGAACATGTGCGATTTTACGTTTTATATTACCATTTGGAAAATCACATAACGCCAATATCTAAGATGGGATATTTCAAATTATCTGTATTGATATTAAAGTATACCTACCTGGAAGTTTCTCCTGATGTACAGACGCTGATATCGTGCCTCAACACCAATTCTCTTCTGGATTGTTTCCTTAAGAGATGTGACTGATGTCTCGGGATGGAGTTCAAAGTAAAGTGTCTTGGGTTTTTTTGAGAGAGGAGTCCGGACAAAGAGATGCAGTTTCTGTTTTCCGTCTTTGGTATTACT